CTTTTTCGCGTAGGCGTGAGTACAGCAGCTCGAGAGAGTACAGGTGCTCGATGGGGTTTCTGGTGCTGTGTGTGGGAATCGTGAAGTTGAACATTTGCTTCATGAGGGCTTGTTTCGAGCCCTGCGATTCCGGATCGTAGATTTTGTCGAGTTCTGCGAGGATCTCTTTTGCGGTCTCGCACTTGTTCACGATCGCCTTGTCGGCTTCTCTGACGATGGCAGTGGTCACAAAATGGAACGCTTGGAGGCCCCTCTGGACCTCGTCGCTGGTGTATTGGAGGCGGTACAGCTCCGAGCTTGGCACGTTTGGGTTGCCGACAGGTGCATGTCTCTCGTTGTTGCCGATCAATTGGCCGTCCAGTCCAACAGTCTTGGCCGCTTGGATAAGCGATTTTCTCCACGAGTCATACCCGTGGCCGCGACTCTCCCCGTCGAGACGCGGGGCATTGACTGTTACTCTCTTCATGTGGCTACTGCTGTAGCCGTCGAGGAATTCTCCATTTCCTCGAATCACGGGTATCTCGCCAGGGGGGTTCAACCCCCTCGCTTCCCCGTAGTCCGGTCCTATCCCCGGGCCCACTCCGGCTGGTCCAACAGGGTTCGCTCCCGATCTGCTGGCCCATCCGCCTTCCAGCAGCTGCCGTGGTCCTTGCCCACTATCTCTCGCTTGCTGCTGGAGAAATCCCCCGCCTCCACCGTGCGGCTGCAGGGACTCTTTGCTTTCGGGGGCAGCAACCCAGCCGCCCCTACTGGCTGCATCCGCCACGACGCTGCCAGGCTCCTTCTTCTTCACCGACGCCTCCACCAGGGCCGACAATTGCGAAATCTGCAGTTGCAAACTTGCAAGTTTCGCATCGCGGCCCTCCTGCACCGGCGGGCGGATCTGTTCTCCGCTCGCAGCAGTGCGCTCTTCGTCTCCAGCAGAGCTCATCCCAATGTGGGTTCCCTCGAGGGGCGAAAACAACTCTAGAGTGTTTGCGGCCTACGCCACTTATTTATCGGGTGAGACTGTTTTGGTGATGTATTGACTTCACGAGAGGTCGACGACCGTCCTTCACACGGACGAAAGAGGGAGTGCTCAACGAGCGGCCCCCACAGCAGGGAGGGGCCCGTGAATCATCCCGGTGCCCCCTACCAAACGGCAATCTTACCAGTCTGCGTGATACCAAATCATCCAGCACATGTATCCAACACCAATGTTCGCAGACCCACGAACAAGGTACGTCGTGCCATGCGGCGGGAGATCTTCATTGGTGTCAGCGGTGGTCGATTGCCAGCCACCAGGCCCATTTCACGCGCCCCTGGACCTTGATTTCCGCGTCAAAGAGGAGGAGGACGACCGGGTTTGGCGTGATCTGACGATGATGATCGTCAAGAGTACATCCAAAGCCTCCGGCACACTCACGAGGTGATTGAAGCTTGATGTTGTAGTGTTGTTGTCCGCTGTGAAGTCCACGTCGCGTCGCCCAGTGTGGAAGAATCCTTTCTCTGTGGGTGACGCAGGTAGCGGTACTACCTTGTATTCCGAACACGCAGATTGTGCAACAGTTCTATCGATGCCAAGACGCAGGCTAGTGCCGTTATACCGTATCAAATGCGATATGCGTTTCGGTCGCGAGCGGTTTGAGGGCCCTGATCTTCGAGGAGGGACACGAATTGGGACCAGACATAAAAACAGGCCAAGTCTACTTTGCGCGTACCTCAGAACCAATCGGGGCCTGAAGGAGTCCTTCTGCGCAAACGCGGTCCCGACACATTCAGAGCGAATAGTAATACGCAGTTACATGCTGCTATAGGCCAGGGTAAGCAGTTGCAGATGGGAACGTCATACACATCACTCCAATCATTCGCTTGTCTCCTTGTTTGTTTGCTCGAAAGGTCCTTCAGCGGGAGGAAGACGGTGGCCCTTGGACCGTTGTTAGAGACGAGGATGGCTCTGTTGTCTACGACGAACAGTGCAGGGCCTTCTTCGTCCGGGCCAAAGTTCATCGCTTCAGTCAGGGTTGCCTGGCACGCAACCTGAATCTGCAAAAACAACAGCCTAAACTCTCGCGTATTGTTCGGCCGGCCAAGCAAGGAGTTGGAGTTTGTAAATGCTACCGACAAGCCGCTGATGTTTCTCGTGCTGCCGACATCCTATTCCCAAAAAGCCATCACCTCGATCGTGTTGGGCGCGGAGATTGAGGGGGTAGGAGTGAACGTAGCATTTGACCGAGCGTTGGAGCAAGCCATCCTGTCCGCCGCGACCGAATGCCAGGTAGTTTCGCTTGCACCGCGCACAAGGGGAGGAGACCCAGCAGCAGGGGAGGAGTGCCCCCATTCCTCTTGCAGCCTATCGAGAAGTACAGGAAGCGACGCAAGGGTGGCCTTGGTAACGGTCGATGGAACAACAGTGTTCGTCTGGTTCTCGTGTATATTCTGGGACCGGACTCGCTACGCGGTGCTCCCCGCCCAGTTTTCTACTAAGATGAATCCCATTGGGAATCTCGAATTCGCACCGGGAACATTTTCTGTGGTGGACGCCGCGGGCATGTCCAACCGGAATGCTCCGATATCAAGGGTGTCATCAAGAGGCGACCGAGCCGATGCGCATTCCGCATTGCCTGCCGTGGGGGTCGGGTGGACAGAACCCCTGGACAAGGCTTTTAAAGAAGCCCTAGTTTTGGGGTTTTTGGGCTTCTTCCTTGCGGCATTGTTTGCCGCGATTACCTGCAGCTTGTGGAACCCTTTTCGTGAGAAACGAGTGGAGCTTCTCAAACATATGTGGTAAAAGTTTATGCCCGTACATTCTACGTTGCCAAAGCTACGTCGCCCAGCATTTCCGCCGGTGGAGGGGTTATTCTACTCGAGGTCATGGCCCGAAGTTGAAGCAGTGGACTTGTGCTATACTTCCAGGACCTTGAAAACGGATCGGTTTTACAAACAAGTATTATGACTAGTCTAATGGCTGTGAGGTGTAGGCTGTTTTGTCGGTTTGAATGGGGACTAGAGTTGGATGGGGGGTATTGCCAACGCAAAGTTCGCGCGTGAGGGGAACTACATGGTGTACATGGAGGATGCGCCTGACATTTTCAGTTTTAGCACACGCTTTCGCTACGGGATGCTGCGGGTGGACATGGCTGAAGGAGAGCCGATGACGAAAACACAATCTCGGCTAATTTCGGAATCATGCTCGTAAATTTCGGCCGGCACGAATAGTTCCCAATTTACGTTTTTACTTCCGGCGGGCGGTAGTAGTTTCATGCAATTTCCATCGGACTGTATTGGGACAAGTATCCTCGTAGGTTTGTGAGAATTTATCTGCTGCCTCGTGTTCGTTGTCTGTACTGTCTCGCATACTTTCGAATAATGAGGGCTGGCTGTGTCTTGACTCTGAGCAGGTTGCGATGTTCCCGATCCTGTAGCGCTGCGCGTGTTCTACTGAACGTCGACTTTAATCGTTTTGCTCAGTCGCACGAGAGGAACGAAAGCAAACTGCAATGCGTAAGGCTCGTTCCCGTATTTGTGTCGCACGACGAGTGTGTCTCTCCAATGCATCGCGTTTCGCCCAATGAGCGAAGACTCGATTCCTACAACGCGAGCGACAGGACACGTAAAACGACTGGGTTTTTTAAATCCACTCTGCGCTACGTCAACACTCGACGAAATGCGAACGACGACCTCACTGAATGGATTGGCGACGGGAGAAATCACGACTGCATATTGAGCTGCTGCCCTGTACATGTGCGTACATAGCAACTCGCAGTGTTTGTGCTTCTTTTGAAAGAGTGAGGGATACCATGTACGTACACGTCGACTCGAACAACAACGCGAAGAGGCATTTTCAAACAAGTTGTCTGCGTGTGTGTAGCGTGCAAGCGCGAACACATGCGATTACACACAGTTGTCTACATGGCCTCGGAAAAAGAACCAAGCACAGTATGTTGCCGAGCCATCTTTCTAGGTAACAGCGTGTGTTTGGGTCCGTCCGTCCCATCAAGATGTAGTCCAAACTATTTGGCACCATCCAGTCGTTACACATACAACGTGTGCAGACTATAGACCACGTACGTACAGAATATTTGCCGCATGAATACACGGCGTGTTGGGCCGCACAGAAGAAAGCCACACACACCAGGTTCAACCCCCACTTCCTCCTGTGGTGCTTGCCTTTTAAATGTACAGGCAGTAGTAGCCGTGTCGATCAGCGGAAACGCGAGGAAAAAAGAGGAACGCTGAAAGAGTTTCGTGTCCCTTGCCAGTTGGACCCTCCTAGAGACTACAGAACTAGGAATGTACGCAATAGAAATACCTGTCCACAACATTGCCGGGCAGGCAGCAACGATCCACGCATTGGCACCGCATCATCTGCGTGTGATGAGAGGGAAGAGCGAGGAGGCGAAACCGGTTCATCCCAGTCGATAGACGGACAAATTCATTTGTAACAAACAATTTATATGTGTACCATGCAAAAGAATAGCAGGAAGCCGGCATAGCTCAGTGGTAGAGCGGCACCTTCGTAAGGTGTAGGCCGAGAGTTCGATCCTCTCTGTCGGCTGCATCGAGCGCACTATCGAAATATTTTTTTCGCCGCCGTCAGTTGTTGCAGTTTGTTGTTGATGTTGTTTCTCATATTAGCTCTAAAAAAGAAAGATTTGGAGCCCGTGGTCTCAAAACCCGGCATACACGACCCCACGAAGAAACAGAAAAAAATAGGGTACAAAAACCACTCGGAAGAGAAACAAAATGATAGAAAGAAA